TGAGGAGTGAAAGGAGAAATGGAGACAATTATAGATGATTTTTTTCTGGGAGTTTGGCTGAGAAAGGGAGGAGAGACAAAACAGTAACTTGAGGAGATGATAGTATAAAGTGAATATTTTTTTAAGGATGTAAGAGATGTGAGAATGTCTGAAATCAATAAAAAATGAACCAGTAGAAAGGAGAGGTTTTGAATATTATAGAGAAGGTGGGGATGGTTGAATGGTCAGTCTCATGGAGAAAACAGAGAATGGGGTCAAGTGCACATGTAGAGGGTGTGAATTTGCCAAAGTCACTTGGCAAGAAAGGGTCACTTCATCAGAGATTGGAGGAAAGGAGGAAAAATTATCAAGGGGTTTTGAAATGAAGAGAAGAGGACAAGCATCAGTTTTTTCAGTAAAGTAGGAGACAGTGTCCTCAATTGAGAGTCAGAAGAGATGGTGTGGGACACTTTAGAGAAAAAGTTTGGAATAACTTCTTTAGAGAATCAATTGCTTTTCAGAAGGTGTTTGTTTAGTGCCTATCATGAGTTCTGATAATGTAAATATTATCAAAATAAGGTTTTGCACAAAGAGGTGCATCTTTCTCAAAATAAAATCCATATAGCCTTGTCAAAGTTGACTTACATACATGTATTCTTAATCTATTTCCTCTTCAACCCTGTTCCATCCCCTGCCTTATGTGTTTCTTCAGTTTTTTCCTGGTTTCTGGTTCCTTCATTTCATCCTATAAACATTCTAAGGCCCAACCTGTCCTCTAGAAACAAAAACAAAACCTTCCCTTGACCCTGTTCCTTGACCCCTAAATCCATTGTTCTATCCAACCTCCTTTTAACTGGCAGATTTCTAGAAAGAGTAGATTACATATTGTCCTCATCTCCTCACCCTCCCCATTCACTCCTCATCCCCTTGTAGTCTAGCTTCTACCTCTACCACTCTATTAAAAATGCTCTCTCCAAGATCACTAATGATCTCTTTATCAATAAGCCAGTGACTTTTTTTTCCGTTTTCTTGTATTTATATTCTTTCCCTTGCTGGCATTTCACTAGACATTGTCCCTTTTTTATCCACTCTCAAAACCTTTGACCCTCGGTTTCCATTACTGTATACTCATAATTCTCCTACCTCACTGACCAAACCTCGATCTCCTTCCCTGTCTCTTTGTCCTCATCCCATCCCTTAATGGGTATATCCGTGTAGTTTCTCTCCTTGGCTCTCTTTTCTTTTCCGTCTGCATTCGCTGAATCAGCAAGCATTTAAAAAACACTTAGCATGTGCCAGGCTCTGTGTTATTTGTAGGTATATTTGAAGTAGATGCAAATTAACTTGAGGGGGAAGGCCCTCTAGGGCATCTGTGGGTCAGGCATGACCTCATGTAGAAGGTGAAGTTTGAGCTGCGTCTTGAAAGAAACTGGGGAGTCTAGGAGGTGGAGCTAGTGAGAGGGCGAATTCTAGACATGGTAGACATGTAGTGCCAGAGACAGGAGACAGACGAGGTCTCTCATGGTGATCTTGTCCACTTAATCTGGTTTCAGTTGTCACAAATCTCTGTGCTATATCTCTACCTCCCAACCTCTTCCCAGAGTCCTGCCCTTTATTTCTAAATTCTTGTTGGTGATTTCTACTTATATTACCTACCAGCACCGCAAAATTAACCTATCCAGTATTAACAAGTCCCCAAAATTTGACACTGCTCCTAACTTCTGTACTTCTACCAATGGATCATTATTCTTTTAGTGAACTCAGATTATAATCTTTGATTTTTAGGTGAGGGAAAGGGAGGAATAGTTATTTGCCAAGTCTTTTCAGTACTACCTCCATGGTATTTTTCTTGTCCTTTTTCTCCTTTTCATTTTCATGGTACAGTGGAAAGTACACATCTTTGGAGTAAGAGGACTTGAGTTCAGGTTCCACCTCTGTCTTTGGGAAATCATGTAATCTCCTTGGGCCTCGGTTGTCCCATCTGTAAAAAGAGGAGGTTGAACTAGACAGCCTCTGGGGTCTTTTCCAGCTCTAAATCTTGTATGGTCTTATGACCCTAATTCAGACACTCATCTTTTCTCCCCTAAACTGTTGTAGCCTCCTAACTTATCTTCTAACTTGTATGCACACTGTCTCCCCTCCATTTCTATCCTTGACACTGCTGCCCCATAATCTTCCTAATCTACAGGTATTGTGTCATTTTTGAACACTAAAACTTTCTGTAAGTACTCATTGTCTACTGAATAAAATACATAAACACGCTTCATCTTGGTACTTGAGGCCTTTTACATTCTGACTCCATTTTACTTATCATGCTTTTTCTCATACTGCTGCCCTTCATATACATCTGTGTTCTACTCCCCTCTTCTTGTCCTGACCTCTCCTGTCTCTATGCATTTTCTCAGTCTTTCTTCTCTGCTTGAAATAGAATTCTCTATTCCTGCCTCTCCATCTGATAGAAGTCACTTTTTTGCTTCAAGGCTCAAGTCAGGTGCTTTCTGTTTTGTGAAACTTTGTCTGAGTCTGCTTCTCCCCCTTAGGGGAAAGTCAGTTCTATAGGTTTTTTCTAGCATTTTGCCTTGATCTTTACTTTGCTCATATCTCACTGTCCTTACAGCATAATTGTTTGTGCATTTCTCTTCTTTCCCACTGCCAACTTCATGCTTTCCATGCCTAATATAGTGCCTCATATATACCATGTTTCACCGCATAATCATGGCAGATTTTATGGTAAATTTTTGCAAAAAAGTGGGGTGCGATCATTATGCGAAGTTTTAAATTGTGCCGGTATTACTTGTCTTTTAGTTTCCACCAGTCTCACACCACCTTTTCACTCATTGAAAACTGTCTTTCTGTAGCTTTGTTTCCAAGCTTTCAGCTTGAAGCCTGCAGAATACTTTTTATATTTACCCATAATCAGAAAAAAATGCTTTGCTTGTTAATATATCATTGGCAGACAAACTATATAGTTTAACTAGCAAGGGAAGATGGAAGTCTTACCATATTGTACGACTTATTCATGGCAGCTTCAACAGCCTGCTTGCTTCCCTTGCGTTGATGGCTCTTAATTGGGTTGTGTGACAATACCATTAATACTGCAGCACTCTGAACAAACCGTGCAATTCAGTTTTCTGGAAATATACTGACAATTTGCATGCACTGAGAATTCTAGGCTTGCGGCTTGGAATGCGTGAGAGAGAAATCTGTATCCATGTGCCACTGGTGAATACATTGCTGCTGTATTTACCTTTTAAGCAGCATGACAAACAGGATTATACCATGCGATGATTACGTGATGTGATGAAAGGTTAGAAACCAATTTTTGGACTGAAAAAAAGAATCAGGTGCTGTGATTATACAGTGGTGATGATTATGCAGTGAAATACAGTATTCTGGGTGCTTAGAAAATATTTATTGAATCGTCAGTGCTTGAGTTTCATGTTGCTTATAATAGTAGTATTGACTTTTCTCAAAGACTATTTAAAATTAACTCTTTCCTTTTATTAGTTTCCTCTTTATATTTTGTGCTCAGCTAAATCCGGTACTTTGACTTTTTCATTTTTATGAAAGCTAAAGGGGCTGTAACTCTAAATATGTTTAAATCTTTGTAATCGCCAATAAATTTTTGAACCTGTTGTGGGCATTCTGTATGTAATATTTACTGTGTGTATGTAAGATCAAAGTTAACACTTAATAGTTCTGTAACATGGTAACTTTTTCCTTTGTTATTTTAAACCAGGCCTGTACAGCCTGCAGCTGGAGGTGCCGCTTGTGTCTGGCCAAAGGATTTTGGGACCTGTGAAGAATGTAGAGGAAAACATCCTTTGTATGTAGAAGAAATCCTTTGGCTTTCCACGAGCAGCTGTAGGGCCACAGGTTGTGCAGGCTTGTTTTAAACCTATGTTTGTTGGGGTAGCTAGATGGCGCAGTGGATAGGGCTCCAGCCTTGGAGTCAGGAAAACCTGAGTTCAAATCTGTCCTCAGACACTTGACTACCTGTGTGACCCTGGGCAAGTCATTTAACCCCAATTGCCTCACCCAAAAAAGCAAAAAAAAAAAAGTAAACCTATGTTTGTTTCCATGTGACAATTGGCAGAAGTTTAATAATCATGAAGATGTCTTGGTCCCTGTGCTTAAGGAACTGTGTACCTTGTCTGAGCCAGCCAGTCCGAGGGACTTAATCTGTTTCACTTGGTTGCCATCCCTTTATTCCTTTAAAATTATATAGTTTGGTTAAAAAAAAACCAAACCCAGAAACAAAAAAACTCAACATTGAACATCTGTACAAAATTTACTTAGTAACTATCTACTTTTAATTTCAACACATAAGTATCATAATACTATTTCTGTCACTCTCTCTAAGTCACCATTAGAATTCTTTATTCATTCTCATTTTTTCTCATATGATTAAAATTCTATGTATTACATTCTTCAAGAGCTGTTTTATTAATTTTTTGCATTATTTTGCATGGGCCTTGCGAGACAACTTTGTATTTCTCATACTTCTCAGTATTAATTGTATTGTAGCATTTTCTTAAATTAATGTTTCATATTGTTATACATTTAGATTGTCTTGTAATTATATGTAATGTTGCAGTGAAAATCTTCTGAACAGATAGGTCTTTTAAAATTATTACATTAATTCTCAAAAGTTTATATCCCTAGTTTCTTTGTACAATTCAGTGCCTTTGGAATTAATAAATTAACTAATAAAAAAGGAGTCAGAATTTTAATTGGAAGAGATCTCAGACATCTTCTAGACCAAGGGTTCATAACTTCGGGGTTTGTGAACTTGATTTTTAAAAATATTTTGATAACTATGTCAGTATAATTGGTTTCCTTTACAGTGCTATATGTTTTATGCATTTAAAAACATTCTGAGAAGTTAATAGGCTTCACCAGATTAACAGAGGGGTCTATGACACACAAAAAGGTTGTGAAACCCTAATCTAGGCTAATATATTGATTCTTCTCATTAAGAACTTTAAAACACATTATGTTATGTTTATTTTGTTTTGTAGAAAAATAATCCAGCTGTGGTTATCATAGGCAACAATGGACAAATACAGTATGATCATCAGAAGTAAGTGTTTATACATTATACATACAAGTTTCTAACTTAATGGCTTGCCCATTTCATCCCATACACATCTCAAATTCAGCATTTCCAGAATAGTTAATTATTTTTTACCTAAAATCTACCCTCTTTTGAACTGCCTGATATCTTTTGAGGGTAATACCATATTTCCAGCCACTCACTTTCACCACCTTTGAAGTATCCTTGATATTCTTCCTTAGTCCAGCTATTCAGTCAGTTGCCAGTTCTTGTCTAATTTACTGCCACTACATCTCTAACAACCATCTTGTTCTTTCTACTCACATAGCAACTACTCTAGAACAATTGTCATACCCCCTGGCTTAGACTATTTGCAATAGCCTCATAATTGATCTCTCTACCCTTAAGTATCTTCCTTCTCCAGGCCCTCTTCTACAATGCTGCCAAAGTGATGCTCTAGAGCTCAGATCTGATAATGTCACTCCTCTACTTGGTAAAGTCTGTGAGCTCCCTATTACCTCTAGGATAAATGACTTCTCATTACCATTTTATTAAAGCTCTTCACAACCTGACTCCAACCTATTCTTATTTCATGTTAATTCCCTTCACCTACTCTGATGTTCAGCCTAACTGGACTGTTACTCAAACATGATATCCAGTCTCTGAATAGTCTTTGAATAGGCTGTCTCTCATGTCTATAATACATCCTCTCCTCATTTCTACCTCTTAGAATTTCTACCTTCCCTCAAAGCTCAGGCCAAATGCTACTTCCTACATGAGGCCTTTCTGTATTTTATCCAAAGTGCTAATGCCTCACTCCCTAAATTACCATGTGCTGACTTTCTACATCTTTACAGATATGCATTTGGCACCCTTTCCTCCCCCACAGATGTAAGCGTGAAGCCAAGAAGCATTTAACTTTTGTTTCTTATTTTCCCAAAGCCTCCCACATAGTAAATGTCTAATAAATGCTTGATTGGTTTAGTTTTACGAATTTGGACATTCCCTAAAAAAAGAAATGGTGAGGGTTTTGTTCCTCTTTAAAAAAAATTTTTTTCTTTTTTTTTTTTACATTTTTTTTTTTTGGCTAGGCAGTGGGGTTAAGTGACTTGCCCAGGGTCACACAGCTAGTAAGTGTTATGTGTCTGAGGCTGGATTTGAACTCAGGTCCTCCTGAATCCAGGGCCGGTGCTCTATCCACTGCACCACCTAGCTCCCCCCCCAATTTTTTTTTCATAAGAAAGTTGCAATCAATGATCTGGGTTTAAAATCCATACTTTTGTTATTCAGTTGTACTTTAAGTTATATTGGTGAATTACTTCAGTTTGTAAACATAAAATCTTCATACTTTTTAATATAAATATTAGCAATCATATGTCATCTTTAGGCTATGTTGAGATTTGTTGCAGTTTATAATAGTTCTTAGTAATGAGATTAGGCTGATAGTTGTATGTTGTTTCTTTAATCCTCAAAAGGATGTTAGCAAAAATAGGGTTATGACTATAAATCTAGAGCTTAAAACTAATATAATACTATATAGGGTCTTGAATTTTTTTTAAATTCTAGTCTTAAATTCCAAAAAAATGTTCATTTAGCATGTATAAATTAGAACATTAAAAAAGGTTGTATATGAAACAGTAGATATCTGCTGCTAGCTTTTTAAAACAAATATATGGTGAATTCAGCATATTACTTTCAAAGTTATCCTGCTTGGCTGTGCTTCTTGCAGAACTTCATACTTTTCTTTATACTTTTTAAAATGTTTCAGTGGCTCTTCTCTTGTTTTCTTAATTTTCTTTCTTCCTTTCTTTTTTTTGAGGGGGAGGGGCTTTACCATCAATAACTTCTGCCATGCCACACATAAAATGTAGGCATCTTCAAGCAAAACATATCCACATAGTTTCTGTGTTCAAAAAAGCATTTTACATTCCTTACCTTGAGTCTGTCTCACCTCTTTGTCACGGAGTGGGTAATACGCTCCATTATAGGTCCTCTGGAGATATCATTGGTTGTTTTTATCAGAATTCTTAATTCTTTCATTTCTTATAGTGTCATTGTATAAACTGTTCTCTTGTACTGACTTATTTTACTCTAAGTTCATACTTCCCAGGATTCCCTGAAATTGCCTCTCATTATTTCTCACACTATAATATTTCATCACTTTCATATAACACAATTTCTTTAGCCATTTGATGCCAGTTTGAGCCAATTTCTTTTCTATTTAATGAATACCCTTTTAATTTACAGTTCTCTTTTTTCCCCCTTTTAATCTCCACTCAGGATCAAGAAGTTTTCCTTATTTAAATATCTTCCCTCTCTTTTATTAGCCTGCCTGTTAACCTCACCACCTTCCATCCTGACCTGCTTCCCTTTTGAGTTTCATGTGTTTCTGTACCAAAGATTGTGTGTGTGTGTACATGTGCACAAGCACACATTCTTGCTTGCCTATTCCTTCTCACTCATTCTAGTTATAATAACAAACCCCACCCACTTCTTTCATTTTCCCCATCTATTTTTTATTTCATTAATTATTTCTCAGTTACATGTAAAAAAACTTTTTACATTGTTTTTTAAAAAAATTTTGAGTTTCAAATTGTCCCCCTCCTTCCTTCTTCTACTGCCTCCTTGAGAAGCAAGCAATTTGATATAGATTATACATGCAAAACATAGTTCCATATTAGCTATATTGTGTAGGAAAATATAGACAAAAAACCCCAAGAAAAATAAAGTAGAAAAAAGTAGGCTTCAATCTGCATTCAGACTCCATCAGTTCTTTTTCTGAAAGTGGATAGCATTTTTTCATCATAAGTCCTTTGAATTATCTTGATCATTGTATTGATCAGAATAGCTAAGTCATTCACAGTTGATTATCATGCAATATTGCCGTTGCTATGTACACTGATCTGGTTCTGCTCACTGCACTTTGCATCAGTTCGTATAATTCTTTCCAGGTTTTTCTGACATTATTTAGTCACAATCATATAACGCAACTTGTTTAGCCATTCTCCAATTAATGTATATCTCCTCAACTTCTAATTCTTTGCCACCACAAAAAGAGCTGCTATAAATATTTTTGTATGTATAGGTCTTTTTCTTTTTTCTTTAATCCCCTTTCTTCCTTCTTTCTCACTAGTGTATTCTTTTACCCTCTCTTCTCTTTCCCCTCTTCATGGCCTAAGAACAAAACCAGTCATCCCCCAGGATGTCTGGGGTTTTTTGTGTTTTGTTGTTTTGTTTGTTTGTTTGTTTTTCAGTTTAACTCCCTTAGTAACTTTTGAAGACATTAAGATTCTGAAAGGACTGCTTATTTCTCTCTCTTATTAGAATATTAACCCTACCACATTATACAGAATATTAATACTGCAACATATATGCAGTTACTCAAATAAATTTACCTTTCCTAGTCCTCTTAATGTGTTTGTATTTCGTAGTACCTACTTCACTTTAGTCTTTTCATCACAAATGCTCTATCTTTTTCAGTAAAGATCCATTTTTTTCCTCTGCAGGATAATACTCAGGTTTGAAGGGTAAATTATTCATGGTGATAAATTTGCATCTTTTGCCTTTGGTTACTGTGTCATAACTTTAGTATTTTCTCTACTTGCACATGAACTATTTTTGTTGATCATTTTTGAAGGTGGAATTTCCTAAGTTTTTTGTTTCTATTTCTTTCTCTCCATACTACAGCGATGGTGCTAATCAAGCTTTGTCAAGTTGCCTGAGGGACTTTCGTAATAAGCCATATCCTGTTCGGGCAAAGATTACATATTACCAGAAAACTTTGACAGTAAGTAATGTCATTTAACAGTGATAATAGTCATAGTTGACATTTAGATAGCCATTTACCACTTGGCTATGTCTTTACATTTTCATTTTAACCTCATGACACCTTTATGAGATAGATACTACAAGTATTATCTGCATTGTACAGATGAGGAAACTGAGACAAGGGACTTGCCTGTAGTCACCTAACCTGTAAATATTGGAGGCAGGATTTGAACCCAGTTTTTCTTGACTCCCAAGTCTAGCATTTTGCAGGGATGGCATATGAACATGTGCTTAGGAGATGACTTTCTTTGATAAGAGTGAAAAGATCTGCATTGGCAGCCATTTTTGTTGAAGAGATGGAGATGATCCGTCACCTTGCCGAGGCCAATCTCTGTATTTTTACCCTTGATTCCATCCCTTTCTTTCTCTTATGGTAGATTGAGCGCGCACACACACACACATACACACACACACACACACACACACACACACACACACACCCACCCTACCACCATCTCCTTCCCCTACCCCAGCCAATTACCTCCCCCTTCCCCCATATATACACGCTACTCATCCTTTTTCATCTTCAATCTCTCCCTTTCTACTGACTCCTTTCTTGCTGCCTATAAACATCCCAGCTGTCTTCCATCTTTTAAAATCCTTCATTTGACTGTATTATAAAGTGATGGTCACTTGACCCCCAAGCTATTGACCTATATCCTCTCCCCCTTGATTTCACAGCCAAACTCCTAGAAAAAGCTGTCTATTCTTGTTGTTTCCACTTTTCTTCTCAACCCCTTGCAATCAATGGAAACTGCTCTCTCTAAAATTACATTAGTTAATTGCCAAACCTGATAGCTCTTTCGTAGTCCTCATCATTCTGACCCTCTTTGAAACATTTGACACCTTTTACTACTTTCTTCACTCTGGGTTTACATGACACTTCTTACTTTTGGTTCTCCTACCTGTCTGGTCACTCCTCAGTCTCTTTTATAGGATCATAATCCATGACATTCCCCTATTCGTAGTCGTACCCTAAACCTCTGCCCTGGGTTCTCTTCGTTTCTCATCCTGAGCTGTCTCTTCTGGTGATCTCATCATGGGTTTAATTATCATCTTTATGCAGATGAATCCTGCATCTGCGTAGCCTTACCCATTCTTTTTCCAGAGCTCAAGTACCATATCACCAGCTGCCTGTTGGACATTTCAGCATGTCCAAAACAGAACTCATGTTTTTCTCTAAATCTGCCTTCTGAATTTCTCTATTTCTGTCAAAGATTTTTCAGTCATTCAGGTTCACAACTGCGGTCATCCTTGACTTCCCATCCCACATGTCTAATCAGTTGCCAAGTCTGGTTCATTGTACTCAGACAGCCACCAGTCTTATCATCCCTTGCCTGGATCCTTATGGTAGTCCCCTAGTTGTTCTTCAGATGTCTCTTCTCTCCTTTCTGTCTGACTATATTAAACTCTACTGGTTTCCTTTCTTCTCTAGGATCAAATCTGATCTCCTTTATTTGACTGTTAAGCACCTACTATATGCCAGGCATTGTGCTAGGTACTAGAAATACAAGAGGGGAAAAATGTAACAGTCCCTGCTATAAAGAGTTTATGTTGGTCTGGGATAGGGTATGGGTGGGTGAAAGGGGAGCATGAGCACACACAAACATACACATATGTATAAACAAAACAAATACGAGGTAATTTAGGGGTGAGGAAGGCGCTTAGAAGTTGTGGGGAATCAAATATAAACTGTTTGATATCAGGGACTGTTTCGTTTTTTCCCTTGTATCCCTAGTACCTAGCACAGTTGCTGATAAATAGTAGGTACTTTAAAAATACTTTTGATTGATGGATTATACACAACTGGGAGGGTGAGTCCTTTGCATGACAGCGGTCCGAAAAGATCTAAATAGGCTGAATCTAATAAGATGACAGTGAAGTAGGTATAAACATAATGTCTTACACTAGAGTTAAAAAGTATCTGCTTCCCAAGTTCAGAATGGAAGAGGCATGGTTTATCATCATTGAGTCTGAAAAAGGTCTTAGGGTTTTGATAGATTGCAGGCTCAATATGAATCAGCAGTGTAATATGGCTGTCTAAAAATGTAGTTTTGGGCTGCATAAAGAGAAGCGTAGCTTCCAGGAATAAGGAGGAGGATATTTCTTCTATATTCTATCCTGGTTAGACAACATCTGGAATGTTGTGCTACAGTTTAGGAATAATCAATCAGTAAACATTTATTAAGTGCCTACTGTGTGCCAGGCACTGTGCTAAGTACTGAGAATACAGAGAGGCAAAAGACATCCATGCTGTCAGGGAGCTCACAGTTTAACGGAGGAGACATCAAACAAATATATACAAACAGGCTGTATTCAGGAGAAATAGAAAATAATTAACAGAGGGACAGCACTAGAATTGAGAGTGGTTGGGAAAGGGTTCCAGCAGAAGATAGGATTTTAATTGGGCCTTAGAGGAAGCCAGGCAAGTCAGGAGGTAGAGATGAGGAAGGAAAGCATAGGGGCACAGCCACAGAAAATACCTGGAGCTGAGAGATGGAGTGTCTTAATCACAGAACAGCCCAGGAGGACAGTGTCACTGGATCAAAGAGTTTGGAGTGAGGAGTAAAGTATAAGAAGCCTGGAAAAAGTAGGAGGGGGTCAGATTATGAAGGGCCAAGTGAAATGACAAAAAAGCATTTTGTGTTTAATCCTGGAGGTGATAAGGAGTCAGTAGAGCTTATTGAACAGGGTGTGCTAAGGACAGACAGGATGTAGTAAAAATCACTTTGGTAACTTTGTGGAGGATGAATTGGATTTGGGAGAGACTTGAGGTGGTGACACCAGTTACAAGGCCATGGTAGCAGTTCAGGTGAGAGGTCATAAGGATCTGAACTAGGGTGGTAGCTGTGTAAGGAGAACAAATTGGACAGATGCAAGTGATGTGGAGGTAGAAAAAAAAATTGGAAACTTATTGAATATATGGCGTGAGGGAGAGAGTGAGGATTTGGAAGATGAAACTAGGTTTGTGTGAGTTGCTGAATGGATGGTGATGCTTTCAACAGTTTTATATAGAATCCTCGCTGTATCCCTGTGCATACGCGCACGTGTGTGTGTGTGTGTGTGTGTGTGTGTGTGTGGTGTAAGTTCACAATTAAAAAATGAAATTTTAAAACTAATAGGGAAGTCGGGGAAACAGGTGAATTTGAAGGAAAAGGTAATTGTAATGAATTCTGCAATCTGTCACAACTCGTTCATGCCTGCTCACTCTGTGCTCTGTCTTACCCAAAATGAGAAGGAGAGGAAGCAGGGCGCTTACCCATTAGTCAATACCCTCAGCACAGAGCCTATCCACTGTGAAAGGCACTTACCAAAGCCAAATTATGATCTGAGGGGCAGAGGGAAGGGTATGCTGAGAGAGAAGTATGATTTTCCCAGTGGTACCCATGAACCTGCTGCTGTGGGTGCCTGAGTAGTGGTTAGGTTGTAATTGTCTTGAGAGGCTGACCCCCAGTTCAGAAGTAGGGAGGTTGGAACCTTTCATAAGAGGTAAGAGTAGAAAGTGAGGAAATATTGGTAGGTATGATTATGTTGGAAGCAAGCATTACAATTTTTCTATAACTCATCTTCCCACTGTCTGGTTGATCAGAGACGTCTTGGAATCAGGCCACGACACCTTGGGATCAAACCATTAACTCTTTGGGGAGCCCAGTCCCCTATGTTTCAAGCCATGTCCTAAGTGTTTTGACACCTCTGTTCTAGACTATAGCCCTGAATTTGGAAATCATCATTATTACACAATAGTCATCTTACTCCTTGGTACTTGTACCCAGAGTCTTGTTGACTCTTGTTAAGAATTCTATCATGGGGCAGCTAGGTGGCGCAGTGGATAGAGCACCGGCCCTGAAGTCAGGAGGACCAGAGTTCAAATGTGGCCTCAGACCGAACACTTGACACTTACTAGCAGTGTGACCTTGGGCAAGTCACTTAACCCCAATTGCCTTTAAAAAAAAAAGAGTTCTATCATAAATAAATTTGGTGATCTGATTTTCCAACTTACAGCTTATTAAAAGCAGCAAACTAGAATAGTGGTTGGATATAAAAGGCAAGAGACAAAAAGAAAAAAAAATCTCTATCAATGCATAGTATAATAATAGACCTAAAGAATTGTGAGCTTTTTGAGAGAAGGGACTGTTTTTTACCTTTCTTTGTCTCCCCCATCTCCTACCACGGTGTCTGGCACATGGTTGATGCTTAAGGAATGTTTCTTAACTTGAATTGAATTGACTACACTTGAAACAAAGGTCAATTATGTTCAGTATTTAATTGAATAAACATTTAAAATAAAAAGTTTGGGCACTTGAAGGCATAAGCTTAAATTATTCTGGGAATTCACTAAATATTTACTATCCCATTCCCTAGTAGTGAATGAAACGTGATTTTTGTGGAAGGGACACTCTGCTTTTTGTTAATTGTTATTAACAAATTAATTGTTATTTGTTATTGTTAATCAATAGAAACTGATGGATGACCTTGGGCATCACTTACAATTCTATTCTGACTCTTACCTGCAGTAATATATTAGAAATAATCTGAAGACAGAATTAAAAATTGAATTTGAAGTTAGAATTAATTAAATTTGTTAGAATTAAAGTTGACTCCCTTTTCGGCATTTAGTATCTGCTTTTTAAAAATCTAAAGCCAATGTATATTTTTCTAGGTGATGATAAATAATGGCTTTACACCAGATAAAGATGATTATGAATTTTGTGCTAAAGTGGAAAACATGGTAATCCCTGCACAAGGGCATTTTGGAATATCTGCAGCAACAGGTGGTCTTGCAGGTAAACTTTTATAGCCTTTAAATATTGAAAGTTTGGTAGCTAAATTTTATGGGAACATTGTAGTAATTTAGCTAAGCTAGAAATTGTTTATTTGCTTAAGTGCAAAGCACTTTGGGATCTTAGCAGTTGTTCCCTGTATAAATGAATAATGTAGCCCTAATGAGAAGAGATGAGAGAGAATCATCTTTTAATTTGGTCTTACTAGAAAATAGTTGCTGTCATCTCATACCTGTCTACCTTTTTTTTTTGTAATTTTTATTTTCAGTTCTCTTTCCCTCCACTCCTTCCCCAAGAAATATAAAATCCATTATACATATGAAGTCATGCAAATCTGGGCAGAAAAAGGCAAGAAAAATAAAGGGAAAAAATATACTTCAGTGTGTACTCTGAGTCCATCAGTTCTCTATCTGGAAGTAGACAGCATTTTTCATCATGAGTCCTTTGGAGTTGTGGTGGATCATTGTGTTGATAAGAGCAGCTAAGTCTCTCACAGTTGGTCATCCTTACTGTATGGCTGTTACTGTGTGGACATTGTTCTCCTGGTTCTCCTCACTTCATTTTGCATCACTTCATATACACTTTTCCAGGTTTTTCTGAAACCATCCCCTTCATTATTTCTCATAACACAGTAGTATTCCATCACAATCATATTACCACAATTTGTTCAGCCATTGCGCAGTTGATGGGAAATCCCCTCAATTTTTAGTACTTTGTTGCCATCAGAAGAGCTACTATAAATATTTTGTACATGTGGGTCCTATCTGCCCACCTTTCACTAACGATTTACATTTTCATGTTTAGTGTAACCATGTCATAAATATACCACAGTTGGTTCTTTGGGGAAGAAAGCAATTCAAGATAGAATACAGAGAATAAAACCCCTTTGTGGTCTTGTAGATGTGGCCAGCTGAGGATTTTCAGTTTGCTAAAGCAGCACAAAGAAGTTTATTCTGTCAGTATCCATTTTCAACTTCAGTGATATGAAATTAATATTTCTTTGAGTTTTAGATCTAAAGTTTTAAAATACTGTACTTGGTATCTATTCAGCATTTTGTACAATGACAGAGTTTATCCAAGATTGCAAGCTTAAATAGCTATGTAGCTTTGTAGAACACTGACTACCTAAATATGTAGGTATAGCCCAATGTAGAATTGATGTAATTTTTCAAGGGTGTATAAACCTGCCCTTTAAATTTCCCTGTTTCTTTTGCCTCTGTGACTTTGTGCCTCCTGTCCCCCATGCCTGGAATGCACTCCCTTATACCTCCACCTCCCAGAATGCCTAACTCACAATAAATCACATCTCAGCTCCTGACTCCTCTGCAAAGTCTTTCCTGATCCTCCTCTCCTCAGGTGTTTGTGCTCTCTCCTTCCCCAAAATACTTTGTATTTACTTCTCTGTATACATTCTTTCCAGTAGAATTTAAACTGCTTGAGAGTAGTGACTGCTTTATCTTCTGGTTCCCAAAATCCTAAAATTTCTTGTACATTGATATGCATTTAACAAATGTCTGAATTGGATTTTGAGATGAATGTCTTTGTCTCCAAGCTAGCTCACTGAGTAGTTTCTTTAATCTTGTTTTTATATTTTTGTTTATGATTTCCTTGGTCACACATAGTTATCCTCTATGATTATTTGTTAAAGAAAACCAAGTTTTAAAGACAACAGAAATTATTAAGTAAATGAATGATTATAAAGAAAAATCTAAATGTGATCCTTTAGTTCAGAAACTAGCGTAGGATGGTACATGATGTTCAATTTTGTTGTTGTTTTTTTTTTAATTTGTAGATGATCATGATGTCCTTTCTTTTCTGACTTTCCAACTGACTGAGCCTGGAAAAGAAACAGTAAGTACATGATATGTTGTGCTTTTTATTAAAAAGTGCTTTTTCCATTTAGCAGGTGTAAATATGCTACAGCTTGAATTGGAATCTAACAGCTTTTTGTATACTTTCTTTAGATAATATTGCAATTTGTCTTTATCACTATAATGTTCCAAAGGTTTTTGCAGTAGTAGTTCAAAGTAAGGAAAGCTAATTGAGGTCAAGTATCTTACTAATATACCTATTTTTTCCATGTTTATTCTTGAACTATAAAAGCCTGCACCTGATAAAGAAATTCCTGAAAAGGACAAAGAAAAGTACCAAGAAGAATTTGAGCATTTTCAACAAGAACTGGATAAAAAAAAGGAGGCCTTCCAGAAGGACCACCCTGATATTCAAGGGCAGCCAGGTAAATATAAATGAACTTACTTGAGTTCCAGAGGAGAAAACATAACCTTTCATGGGGCTCCATTCCAGCTAGTTGCCTGTAACTACTGCATAGATCCTATCTCTGCTCTGTGATAAACTAGAGTGGCTCATAACAAGTAATTTTTCTCTCAGTGACCAAGACTAAAACGATTTTGCCTATTAGTCAGGCTGTTGAATGTTTAAGTGGCTTTGAGGACCATCTCCAGTCTTTAGTGAGTATCCTATTCTTGGTACCCCTAGAGGAATATGCTGATTTCAGAGGTTTAGAGGCTATTTCAACTTTGGAGGCTGGCAAATACCACGGAAATCAGAATGTCCTGGGCCTTCCCTAGCACTTGGCAGAAGTCATTACAGGATCCCAGAAACTAATAGGCCCTAAAAGGACATTTGTTCGCAGGGCAGTTAGAGTCTCCTTGAGTGAACTCCTGGGACTGAGATGGTAGGCAGGGGATATCACTGATTGGTTCTTCTGGGCAGAAAAAGGTGTATGGTAGAGTATTCACTGAACCCTCCTTGTGATAATGTTAAGTAGAGGGGCCAGGATTTGGCAAGTATTCAGTTGTGTTGTTATGCTTTCTCTTCAGTAATACTAGGAAACTTCTTGTAGTCCTGAATATCAACTTTGGGGAAGCCATAGCTGATTTCCCTAAAGGATAGTTTTGCATTGATAATTGAAATTTACTTGGTTGTTATCCTGTTAGAATATAAGGTCCTCAAGAGTAGAGATTCTTTCATCCTTTGCATTTGTATCCCTAGCATTTAGGCATATAGATGTGCCTGGCCTATTGATTGAGTGATTGTTTGAACCTAAACATTTCAAATGATTTACTTACAGCTTTCAGTTTTTGAAAGAGCTTTGCCAAATGACTTTTTTTAAAAAATATACCACATTAACAAATATACTTTATTTGAAATTAATGAAAAAATAGTATTGGTTTGTGGATTGGACCAAAATTCAGTAGCATTCGGCTCATTCCTAGCTTTCTCATAGTCTTGTATAACCTTGCATGGGGCTCAGTTACCCTGTGTCATAGAGAGATGTTAATTTAATTCTGCTAGATCTACTGTGAAAGTAATGTATTTGGTGTCTTTGGCAGATTTTACTACAAAGTGTTTAGAGCTATTTAATAAATATGAAAATTAATTTTCTTCCTGCTGTCCCAAGCTTATCTGTCTCATATCTTACATAATTCTGGACTGTTTCTACTTCTTCACTTGTACCAGTAGGTGTGTGCTTAGGGAATGCAAAGTAATTTCAATATTAAGCTAAACACAATGTATTAGGAAGTGAATGGGGAAAAAAAAGTCATAATATGTGTTACTAAGCCAGAGACTGTTTGGGGTTTTTAAGACCTTTTCATTACTAGTCATTCAGCAAGCATTTATTAAGCACCAGTGATGCAAAACATGATAGCACCTCTGCCTTCAAGGATCTTAAATTCTAAAGGAGAAGACAAAGTATACATATAAAATATGCAAAATGGACACAAAGTAGTTTGGGGAAGGGGGTACACTCACTGCTAAGGACCAGAAGAGTCTTGAAAGAAATCAGGATTCCAGGGAGGAGAGATGAGGCTGGAGTGCATTCCAGGCCTGGGGAACAGCAAGGGCAAAGCCTGGAGACTAGAGATGGGACTTTGTGAGTTTGGAACAACAGAGGCCAGTATGACTGGATCACAGAATATAAGGAAAGATAGGAAGGAGCCTAGCCTGGTAGGGGCCAGCTTGTGAACAACTTAAAATGTCAAACAAGAGTTTCTGTTTGATCCTTATGGCAGTTGGGATCCATTGGAGTTTATTAAGTTGGGGAAGGATGATGACATGATCAGGCCTACATTTTAGGAAAGTCACTTTTTTTTTGTCTTTTTGTTTTTGGTTTGTGTTTTTTTGTTTTTGCTAGGCAGTGAGGTCAAGTGACTTGTCCAGGGTCACACAGCTAGTAAGTGTCAGGTGTCTGATCTGAGACTGGATTTGAACTCAGGTCTTCCTGACTCCAAGGCCAGTGCTCTATCCACTGCGCCACCTAGCTGCCCCTAGGAAAGTCACTTTGACTATTCTGTGGAGGATAGATAGGAGTAGGGAGAGGCCCGAGTCAGAGAAATCAAACTGGAAACTGTTGCAGCAGTATAAGTGAGAGGTGATGAGGGCCTGAACCTGGGTTGTTGACTATGAGAGTGGAGGAAGGCATACTTGTGAGAGATGTTGTGGGTGTAGAAACAACAATATTTACAACAGATTGTTTGCGTGAGGTGAGAGGGAGGAGTTAGGGATTACATTGAGGTTGTGAACCTGAGTGATTGGTAGGATAGTGGTGCCCTCAGTAGGAATAGGGAAGTTCAGAAGAGAAGTATGAGCCAGGGGGAGGGAGAGGATTATAAATTCTGTTTTGGACATATGGGATTTAAGCTTCCTCTGAAACATCCAATTTGAAATGTCCCATGAGCAATTGGAAATGCATGAGTGGAGCTTAGGGCAGTCTCCTGAAGTGAGATGAGAGTTGAGTCCATAGTAGTTAGAGATGACCAAGGAAGAGAAAGAATCTGGAGAAAAGAGAAGGGGCCCAGGACAGGCCCTTGGAGTTTACACACAGTTAGTGGGGGTGATGTGGCTGATGAATCAAGAAAAGAGACTGAGGAGTGGTCCTAGAGGTAAGAGAACCCAAAACCCAGAGAAGAGAATGTCCAGGAGAAGATGGTAGACCATTATTCTCAAAATGGAAAATCAGCCTTAGCCTTCGCAAACTTCTGTCTTTCCTTGCTGCATTATCACCATCTTCCTGCCTTTGGATCCTGTGGAGGACAGTTTCCGTTGATTCCTCTGCCTGTTCACAACTGTTCTGCATTCTTCTCTGTGTCCCACATGTTGCATGGGTACTCTTGAGAAAGGGCAAACACTAAGAGATAGGATGGAATTGAGTTTTCTGCTTTTTATGAGATCTGTCACTGATACTTGACTACCTAGCATCATGCTAGGAACTTAAGTACTGAACTTTTTTTTAATTGACTAGAGAAATAAGTAAAGGGAGAGAGAAGAAAGTGAGATAGGAAGGAAGAAATTATGGGAAAAAATGCATTGTGAGAAACTTTATTTGGACCTGTGAGATTAAGGGTATGAAGCAGTTAGAAAAATAAATGAGATTATATAGGAAAAGGTGGAATGTGAAGAAAAAAGACAATAATATTAATAAAAATAATAATAATAAAATTACTCAATTTGTGACTCCAAGCCATAGTATAGTTGAATTTTCTTAATTTTTTTTTTAAGAATTCAGCCCCTGGAATAGGAAGAATCAAATAATTGAACTCAGTAACCCAGTAAACCTAAACCTAAGAACATCAATTACTTGGGGGGAAAAAACCTCTGTTTAACAAGAATGGCTGGGAAAACTACAAACTGAATACTAAAGGTCACAACATTTTTTTTTTCTAAAATAGAGATTGAGGCAGCTAGGTGGCCCAGTGGATAGAACACTGGCCCTGGAGTCAGATGGACCTGAGTTCAAATCCAGCCTCAGACATTTGCTAGCTTTGTGACCCAGGATAAGTCACTTAACCCTAATTGCCTACCAAAAAAAAAAAAGTGAGGATCAAGTTAACATACCTTTCCCAGCTATGGCTAGAGGAAAAGTGGTTTTTTTTCTTTTAAATTCAATTTTTTTTAGGGGGAGAATTCTTTTTTTGTTTATTTTTTATTTTTATCTCTATAAAATCTTTTTTTTTAAATTTTTTAAGATTAATTTATTTTTAGTTTTCAACATTCACTTCCATAAGGTTTTCTAAGTTTTAAATTTTCTCCCTCTCCCTTCCCTCCTCTCTCCCCAAATCAGCAAACAGTCTGGTATAGGCTTTACATGTACATTCTTATTAAACATATTTTCACATTAGTCATGTTGTAAAGAAAAATTAGAATGAGTAGGAGGAAGCACAAGAAAGAAGAAACGAAACCAAAAAAAAGAACAAATAGTATGCTTCGATGTACATTCAGACTCCATAGTTCTTTCTTCTTTGTGGATAGTATTTTCTATCTTGAGTCTTTTGGAATTGTCTTAGACCCTTGCATTGCTGAGAAGAGCTGTCAAAGTTAGTCACAGTTCAGTGTGGCTATTATTGTGTACAGTGTTCTTCTGGTTCTACTCACTTCACTCACCATCAGTTCGTGCAAGTCTTTTCAGGTTTTTCTGAAGTCTGCCTGCTCATCATTTCTTACACCGAAATAATATTCCATTACATTCATATACCACAACTTGTTCAGCCATTCCCCAATTGATGGGCATCCCTTCGACTTCCCATTCTTGGCCACCACAAAAAGAGCTACTATAAATATTTTTGTACTTGTGGGTCCCTTTCCCATTTTTGTGATCTCTCTGGAATACAGACCTAGGAGTGGTATTGCTGAATCAAAGGGTATGCAGAGTTTTATAGCCCTTTGGGCCATAGTTCCAGATTGCTCTCTAGAATGGTTGGATCATTTCACAACTCCACTAACAATGCATTAGTGTTCCAGTTTTCCCACATCTTCTCCAGCATTTATAATTTCCCTGTTTTGTCATGTTAGCCAATCTGATAGGTGTTATGTGGTAACTCAGAGTCATTTTGATTTGCATTCCTCTAATCAATAGTGATTTAGAGCATTTTTTTCATGTAATTATAGATAGCTTTAATTTCTTCATCTGAAAACTGCCTGTTCATGTCCTTTGACCATTTATCAATTGGGGAATGACTTGTATTTATAAATTTGACTCAGTTCTCTATGTATTTTAGAAGTGAGTCCTTTATGAGAGACATTGGTTGTAAAAATTCTTTCCCAGATTTCTGCTTCCCTCCTAATCTTGGTTGCATTGCCTTTGCTTGTGCAAAAACTTTTCAATTTAATGTAATCAAAGTTCCATTTTGCATTCTCTGTCTCCTGTTTGGTTTTGAATTTTTCTGTTCTCCATAAATCTGATAGGTAAACCATTCCTTGCTCTGCCAGTTTGCTTACAGTATCAGCCTTTATATCTAAATCCTGAACCCATTTTTACTTTACTTTGGTATATGGTGTAAGATGTTGGTTTGTGCCTAGTTTTTGCCATACTATTTTCTAGTTTTCCCAGCAGTTTTTGTCAAATAGTGAGTTTTTATCCCAGAACCTGGGGTCTTTGGGTTTATCAAATAGTAGATTACTATAGTCATTGACTATTGTGTCTTATGTAACTAATCTATTCCACTGATCCACCACTCTGTTTCTTAGCCAGTACCAAGTAGTTTTAATGATTGCTGCTTTATAATACAATTTAAGTTCTGGAATGACTAGGCCACCTTCCCTTGAATTTCTTTTCATTAGTTCCCTTGATATTCTGGACCTTTTGGTCTTCCAGATAAATCTTGTTATTATTTTTTCTAGCTTGATAAAATTTTTTTTGGTAGTTTGATTGGTATGGTGCTGAATAAGTAAATTAACTTAAGCAGAATTGTCATTTTTATTATATTAGCTTGGCCTACCCATGAGCAACTGATGTTTTTCCGCTTATTTAGGTCTGACTTTATTTGTGTGAAAACTGTTTTGTAAATGTGTTCATATAATTCCTGGGTTTGTTTTGGCAGGTAGAATCCCAAATATTTTATGATGTCTACAGTAACCTTAAATAGAATTTCTGTTTCTATCTCTTGCTGTTGAACTTTATTAGCAATATATAGAAGTGCTGATAACTTATGTGGGTTTATTTTATATCCTGCAACTTTTCTAAAGTTGTTTATTATTTCAAGTACTTTTTTACTGGGGCAACTAGGTAGTGCGGTGAATAGAGTTCTGGCCTTGGAGTCAGGAGGACCTGAGTTCAAATGCAGCCTCAGACACTTAACACTTACTAGCTTTGTGACCCTAGGCAAGTCACTTAACCTCGATTGCCAAAGCAAAAAAAAAAGAAACCAGTCAAGCACTTCTTTACTTGATTCTTCAAGTATATCATCATATCATCTGCAAAGAGTGATAGTTTTGTTTCTTCTTTGCCCATTCTAATACCTTTCATTTCTTTTCCTTCTCATTGCTAAAGCTAACATTTCTAATATGATATTGAATAATAGTGGTGATAATGAACATCCTTGTTTCACCCCTGATCTTATTGGAAATGCTTCTAGCTTATCCCCATTACATGTAATGCTTGCTAATGGTTTTAAATAGATACTACTTATCATTTTAAGAAGGACTCTATTTATTCCTTTGCTCTCTAGTGTTTTTAATAGGATAGAGGGAGAATTCTTAACCAAACAGAAGATGAAGGCAATCACAGAAACAAAATATGTAATTTCATTTATATGAAATTGAAAAGCTGTTGCACTAACAAAATCAGTACAGCTAAGATAAGGAGAGTTCAATTAGGGGAAGAATTTTGCATTAAATATCTCTGATAAAGGTCTGCTGTCCAAGGTAGATTTGGAAAAAAAACTAAAGCAAATAAATTGGAAGTCATTCCAGTGGTAAATGGTCAAAGCATATAAACTACAGTTATCAAAACAGGAATTGCAAACTGTTAATTGCCATATAAAAGATTGTTCCAAATAACTGAGAATAGGAGGAAATTCAAATCAGAATGGCTCTTGAGATTTCACTTCACACCCAGCAAATTGGCAGAAATGACAAAGGATCAAATAGTTAATGTTGGAAGGGACTGAAAAGACAAGTAGACCAATATCGTTTGGTGGAGCTGTGAAGTGACTGAACCATTCTAGAAAGCAATTTGTAGTTTTGCTTTAAAAAAAAAAAAAGGAATTAAACTGCCCATACCTTTTGTCGAGAGAGCCTGCAGCAAGTACACATCCCAAGGAAGTAAAAGATGTTAATAAAGGTCCCACATAAACCAAAGTATTCATACTATCATTTTTGTAGTAGCAAACAATCAGCAACAAAGTATAGATGCTCATCATTTTGGAGTATGGTAAAACAAATTGTGATGTATGAAAATAATGTAATGTCACTGTACTATTAAAAAAGTGTTGAATATGAAAAATGCAGAGAAGTATAAAAAGACTTTTGTGAAGTGAACAGAACCAGGATAATACACAAATAGCTGTAGTGGTGTAAATGAAAAGAACATCTTCCTTGTTTCCTCCAATGAAACTAAATGCTGTATAGTTTGATCCAGTTTGGCCTCAAAGTAGGGGTGAACAAATGCACCCCTCATGCAGCTTTGCAGAAGTGGGGACTGTGGTTATTGAGCATTGCATAAACTATCAGGATCAGTCAGCACGTCGGTTAGTTTTACTGAAGTGTTTTTCTTTCTTGCTTTTTTATTCTTTGTATGAGGAATGGCCGTTTAGGGGAAGGGGGCATACATTTGGAAATTAGGATCATGTGAAAACAAGATTTCAGTAAACATGAAAAATCGCTCATTGGAGATAGTACAAGTGAATAACATTTCACATTATCTAACTGGCTATTCACTGGCAATATATTTGCTGCACTGGTTAGATTACGATATCCTTGTGCTAATTTTAAGGTATGTTAGAACCATGCTACTTTGCCAATTACGTGTATGTTTGGTTCTGATACTCTAAACTAACTTTTTGTAGCTGAAGAAATTTTTGAGAGCGTAAGCGATCGTGAGCTAAGACAAATTTTTGAAGGGCAAAATCGCATCCATCTTGAAATCAAGCAGCTTAACCGACAATTAGATATGATCCTCGATGAACAAAGAAGGTATGTCTCTGCCTTGACTGAAGAGCTCTCCAAAAGAGGCCATGGAGGCCCAGCACAGCTTGGACAGGTGAGCTTAAAAATGTGTTCCCAGCTTAGCACCTGAGTGAGAAGTGGTAGAGAAAATCATAGAAGATAAACTGTAGCTTGCATAATTATTGAAGAGGGCAGATTATCAAAATGGTTTGCGCATCTCGTTTCAGGCTTCTCAGCAAGAACTTGATACTGTGGTGAAAACTCAGCAAGAGGTCCTGAGACAGGTGAATGAAATGAAGTAAGTATGCATAAAAGATAGACAGCATGAAATGATGACATTTGTTGGTTTCATTAAAATTTTTGGAGTAAACAAGCATTTTCATAGCATGGAACAATAAAAAAGATGATTGCACATGAAATTGTTAATTCACTTGTACAACTTGCTATTGCTTTTAAATACACAAAAAGTTATGTAAATTTTTTTTTGCCCCTTCCCTCCCCCTCCCAAAAGGTGGCTACCATTGGGCACAAATAGGTATATGTAAGTAAAATTATTCCAGCTAGAGGGGCGGAGCCAAGATGGCAGAGTGAAAGCAGTGACTTGCTTGAGCTCTCCCCCAAACCCCTCCAAATACTCATAAAAAATGGCTCTAAACAAATTGTGAAGCAGCAGAACCCACAAAAAGACAGAGTGAAACAAATTTCCAGCCCAATACAACCTGTATGATTGATCAGAAAGGTGTACTGCGCCGGGCTGGGAGCGCAGCACAGCGCGGCGTGGGCGCGCAGGCCACAGCGAACCTGGAGCAGGCCTCAGAGGCTGAATCTCAGGCAGCTGTGCAGGTTTCCAGACTCCTCAATCCACCAATGCCAAAGACAACTTAGAAGGTCAGTGGGAAAAGTCTGTTTCTGTCAGTGCTGAGAAGGGAAGGTGGGGTCTCAGCTCCATTCCCCGAGAGTGTGGCCTGGGGTGGGGGTGGGGGGGCCAGCTGCTTCCCGAGCTTCCAGCCCACAGACTGAGGGGGAACCCAGTGGCTGATCAGAGAGGGATTGCAGGGATCTCTTTGCCAGTGCTGAGGCAAGAATCTCTTGCTTTGCCCGTGTTTGGATCTGGATCACAGTTCTGGGCGGCAGTGCTGGGGTGAGGAGGAGCGCTGGCGTGGTGGAGCTTGTAGTGGCTGTGGAGAGGATCCCCTTCTCACAGTTACAGGACAGAAAGGAGTACTCGTAGTCACAGGCCAGGAAAGGAGTAAACACCTCGGGTGCCCCTTATCATATCACCTTGGAAGAAGTGAAAATTTACAGGTCCCTACAAGTATCTCTGAAAACAGCTGTACAAACCCCCCGAAGCTTGGGACAGTACATTCTCCACATTGGAAGCAGATTCGTACCTTAACAAAGAGTTTAAAACTCAAGTAATTTGGCCGGGATCATGAGCAAGCAGTGCAAAAAGAGTCACACTATATTATCTTACTTTGGTGAAAAAGAAGATCAAAATATACAACCAGAAGAAGACAACAAAGTCAAAGCCCCTACATCCAAAGCCTCCAAGAAAAATAAGGCTGTGGAAGAGCTCAGAAGGGATTTTGAGAAGCAAATAAGAGAAGTAGAGGAAAAACTGGGAAGAGAAATGAGAGTGATGCAAGAAAATCATGAAAAACAAGTCAACAGCTTGCTAAAGGAGACCCAAAAAAATACTGAAGAAAATAACACCTTGAAAAATAGCCTAACCCAAATGGCAAAAGAGGTCCAAAAAGCCAATGAGGAGAAGAATGCCCTAAAAAGCAAAATTGGCCAAATGGAAAAGGAAGTCCAAAAGCTTACTGAAGAAAATACTTCCTTAAAAATTAGAATAGAGCTATTGGAAGATAGTGACTTTATGAGAAATCAAGACATGTAAAAATCCAAAAGAATGAAAAATTAGAAAACAATGTGAAATATCTCATTGGAAAAACAACTGACCTGGAAAATAGATCCAGGAGAGAGAATTTAAAAATTATTGGACTATCTGAAAGCCATGATCAAAAAAAGAGCCTAGACATCATCTTTCAAGAAATTATAAAGGAAAACTGCCCTGATATAGTAGCACCAGAGGGCAAAATAGAAATTGAAAGAATCCACAGATCTCCTCCTGAAAGAGATTCCCAAAGGAAAACTCCTAGGAGTATTGTAGTCAAATTCCAGAGTTCCCAGGTCAAGGAGAAAATATTACAAGCTGTCAGAAGGAAACAGTTCAAGTACTGTGGAAACACAATCAGGATAACACAAGATTTAGCAGCTTCTACATTAAAGGACCGCAGGGCATGGAATATAATATTCCTGAGGGCAAAGGAGATAGGATTACAACCAAGAATCACCTACCCAGCAAAACTGAGTATAATCCTTCAGGGAAAAAATGGTCATTTAGTGAAATAGAGGACTTTCAAGCATTCTTGATGAAAAGACCAGAGCTGAATAGAAAATTTGACTTTCAGATACAGGACTCAAGTGGAACATGAAGAGGTAAACAAGAAAGAGAAATCATGAGAGACTTATTAAGATTGAACTGTTTACATTCCTGCATGGAAAGATGATATTTATAACTCATGAGACCTTTGTCAGTATTAGGGTAGTTGGAGAGAAAAAATTATATGTGTATATATGTAGATAGGTAGAGGGCACAGGGTGAGCTGAAGATTAAGGGGTCATATCTGGAGAATAAAATTAAGGGATGAGAGAGGATTATACTCGGAGAAGAAGAAAGGGAGAGGTAGAATGGGGTAAATTATCTCACAAAAAAAAAAACAGAAAAGTCTCTTACAGTGGAGGGGAAACAGGGGAAGATGAGAGGGAATGAGTGAATCTTATTCTCATAGGATTTGGCTTAACGAGGGAATAACATACACATTCAATTGGGTATGGAAATCTGTCTTACCCTACAGGAAAATAGGGGGAGAAGGAGACAAGAGAGCAGGGGGATGATAGAGAGGAGGGCAGATTGGGAAAGGGGGTAATCAGAAGCAAATACTGTTTTCACATGCTAATGGGAAATAAGAAATACAGGAAACGGGGTACAGAAGTCTGTCCTGCCCTACAGAAAAATAGAAGGGGAAGGGGATAAGAGAAGGGGAGAGAGATAGAAGAGAGGACAGACTAGGGGAAGGGATATTCCGAATGCATGCCATCTTGGGGCTGGAGGAGATGGGGTGAAAATTTGGAACTCAAAAACCTGTGGAAGTGAATGTTGAAAACTAAAAATAAATTTGCATTTAAAAAAACAAAAAACAAAAAAACCATAACAATTTAATCTGGTTTTCCAAAAAAACAGATAAGCAGCATATGCTAATTTTCTTGTTGGTCTTTTTACAGTTTATTATACTTTTAAGGATAATTGTATCTTTGCACAGGGACCTGACTTTTAAGATAGGAAGCTGGAGACTGAAGTATCAAAAGGAAACGTTTGTATGTTCAACGCTTTAAGGATGGTGTTGAACATTAGTTACATAGGTCCCTGAACAACAAATTTCAGTTAAGTTTGGGTATATGCTCTGGAAGAAGCCTCAGTGAATTCCAAACGATGAATAAAGCTACCGAAAGTTTAAAAAAAATTATTCCGTACATCATTCTATTTATCAGTTCTTTCTTTGGATGCAGATAGCATCTGTCTTCATATGCTCTTTATAGTTAATTTAGGTATTTATAATAGTCAGAATGACAACGTATACACTCAAAGTCATTCTTAAAACAATATTGCTGTTACTGTATACAGTGTTCTCTTGGTTCTGCTCATTTCATTCTTCATTATTTCGTGCCGGTCTTTCCATGTTGTTCTAAGATCATTGAGCTCATCATTTCTTATATTACAGTAGTATTCCATATACACATACTATATATTTTTATGTAAGAAATTTGTTTTCTGTAGTGGTAATGAGATCCTGAATTCGTATATGATTTAACAAAGAATGCAAATATTTTCTTATCCATCATACAAGAATCTTGTGCTTAAAATATTTTAGAGAAATTTTAAGCCACTCCAAAACATGTAAAATTACTTTTAAGTAAAGAAGGAAGGGGGCAGCTAGGTGGCAGAGTGGATAGAGCACTGGCCCTGGAGTCAGGAGGACCTGAGTTCAAATTTAGCCTCAGACACTTAACACTTACTAGATGTGTGACCCTGGGCAAGTCACTTAACCCCGATTGCCTCACCAAAACAAAAAAAAGCAAAAGAAAAAAGGGGCTTCAGAGAAGAAGGCATAAAGGGGAGTCACCAGAGGGGTAAAATTCTAGTAGCTTTCACAGGAATTTCTTCTTGATCAGAATAAGAATATTATGGGGCAACATGTACCTTGTTTGGGTCTATTTTTCTGCTGATTGTTGAAGAGAAAAATTTTAAGTGTATACCAGAAAGAGATTAAGTGAAGAGAAAGTTGCAAAGGAAATTTTATTTTTATTTATCCCACTTGATATTTTTATTTATTTGTTGAAATTTTTATTTATGCTGCTAAATTAAAAACTCCATAAGGCCAAGAACCATGTCTTGATTATCTTTGTTTCACCAGATTCTTTTCATATGATAGATACTTAATGAAATGTTGTTGATTGAATGGGTATTCTTTTAAGGCATTCTTAAATGCAACCATTTGATGACCATAGTAAAACATCAAGAGTATTCTACAATATTTGATTCTTTAAAGCATGAACAGAGGTTCATTTATGAGCAACAATAGCAATAGCTTCTATTTATTTCGTAATTAAAGTTTTATAGCACCTTTCCTTCACAGCAGTCCTGGGAAGTAGATAATGGAAATATTTACCCCATTTCAAAGGTCCAGTGATTAGAGCCCAGAGAGTTGGAATGACTTCCATTGTTGCACACCTGGGACTTGTAGAGGGGGCCTCATATGCAGATCTCTGACTCCTGTTCTAGCACTCTTCACTATTTTACACCCCCTACCTCCTAGGTTTATATTAGTGAAAAGCTGTTGTTTTTTTAATTGATACATCAGATTTAGTGTGTTAAGACTTGACAAGTGAATTTTCTTAATTTTTAGCCAAGTTAGACTTTTTATAGTGTTGTTCTACATGACCCAGCTGATTGTTGTACTGACATCTGGACGTTGTCTCTGTGACCTTGGCAGTGCTTTGGCCTCACACTTTCTATATTAACATAATTTTATTAAGTGATGGGGGTTTTTCTTTTTCAGAAATTCTATGGGTGAAACCTCAGGCTGGTCACTGGATCCCAGCATGTGGGCACAGCAGGCAGTGTATATGAAACGACCCAGCATTTCAATGATATCAAAGAACACCTTCATGTAGTAAAGAGGGATATTGAACATTTAATACAGCGAAATGTGGTAACTTTCTTTTCATTGACTTTTTTATGAACTTTATCCTTGTCTGGTTATCAGTGTTTTAATTTCGTTTAAGAAAAGGAATCACTATAGGTTTTTGGTTACTCCACTGAAAATTTCAGGTTTTCACTTTTTTCCCTCCTCAGTCATCTGTTGTAAATCCATAAAATGAATTGGAATACTTTATATTTCTTTAGTAGCCAGCTGATAAATAGTAAAGCTCTTCTATTTTTTTAAAGCACAGTTGTGTGTGTGTGTGTGTGTGTTTTAAGCAAAGTATCAAACATCAGCTGTTAAGCCTAGTTGGTAAGGTTGTTCAACCCCAGATTTTACTTGTCTATCATTATTCCTGTTTTCTGTATGCTTTTGTAATGCTATGGTTCTTAACAGCCAGGGCTTTGAACAGGAGAAAAATGTTAACTTTTTTAGTAAAATAGCATCACACCCTGAGTAAAGGTTGCCAGTCACAGTGATCTGTCCAGATTATTATATATCCTTTACCAAGGAGAGAAATGCCTAGGTTTACAGTGTGAAAACTTAGAAAAAAATATGAAACGCATATTTTTTTTAGAGAATTTTGTAGAGGATAAAGAGTAATGGCCAGTGCTAAGTGGGAGAAAGTTAAAAGAAGAAAGTCAATTCATATTTTACATAAGTGAATTTTTACTGTTTTTCTTTCAAGTGCTTTTTTAAGTGCTCTTAATCTTAGGTAGTTGAGATGGTTATGGTACTATTAACACGGACCTTGAAAGATTCTTCTGCCTACAGTTTCTTTTCCTCTTTTCTTTATTTCAGAAGCACTGCTTCTTTACTCATTAAGGGTCAGCTAGGCGGGATGGTGAATGTAGAGCACTGGGTCTGGAGTCTAGAAGACTTGGGTTTAAAATCTAACCTCAGACACTGACTAGCTGTGTTGACCTTGGGCAAGTCACTTAACCTCTTCTCAGCTAAAAAATGATGATAATAACAGCACTTACCTCTCAGGGTTGGTTGTGAAATAAACATGAAAATATAAATGAGATAATATTTGAGAGATACAAATGAGTTAAGATTTGTAAAGCACATTGCAAACCTTAAAGCACTATATAAATGTTAGTTGTTATTATTAACTACCTTGATTGTAACCTTGTTTCAGAACTAGGAGTATGTAAACAGTCAACTGACTCAGACTTTAAATTAGTCATCAGTTTGTTTTAGCATAATGTTCTTTTAAATACATGTTCTGAGATAGGCTTTGTCCAACAAGGTCTCTCATCTAGTCTCTAGGCTGATGGGGGGGGGGTTGTTTGGTGTTTTTTTTTTGGTAATACTGGTATTTTCAGTAAAACAACCTTCCATTCATATAGCTCTTGATAGTTCACTTTGTTATATCTCACATTATATATCTTACATTCATATGGAACATTATAGTCTCCAGAGTACTTTCCATGTACATTTTCTCATTTGTTTGTTATGACCTGGCAAAGTAGGTAGAGTAGGTACTCTCTACATTTCACTGATAGGGGAGCTGAGGCTCCTAGAGTCTGTGACTTGTCTTAAGTCACTTAGCTAAGAAAGTGGTAAAAATAGATCTAGAATATAAGCCTTCTCATCCTTGATCCACTTCCCTTTCCTCTATACCATTCTATACCATGGTGTCTTTCTGTAAAGCTTACATACATAGCCTTTTCTGTTAAAGTTCAGTAAGTTTACTATATCCAAATAACCTCAGGTCTCTTTCATAAGTAGAGGGGTATGTGTGTGGGGGGGGTGAAGGTAGAGGGTATTAATTACAGTGACACATGGGAGCAGCAAGTAGCCTAGTTGGTGACCTTTGGAATAAATATGCTGGAGAATCATTGATCTAGAAGCCACTAAGATCTGATTTCTGAAATGCTAAATGTGCCAGAAAATTCTTTGGGTATTGTCTCATACGTGTGTTTTTTTGTCTTATAGCCATCAAATGAAAGAGCAAAATGCCCAGAACTACCACCATTTCCATCTTGTTTATCTACAACACACTTTTTAATATTTGTAGCAGTACAGACGATGTTATTCATTGGTTATATCATGTATAGGTAAGTTCCTTTTATAAAATATGACCAGATTCTACCCTTTCTCCATTCATAGATTAATGATAATTGTCTGTTTAAATTAAAACAAATAATTTGTCTTAGCACTAGCTTTCAGGTTCTGTAATGGGATAGAGAGATTTCTGAAAATACGAACACTTTCTAAATATACCAAAAAACAGGGTCTGTAGAGGAAAGTTTTTTTCTTGCTAAATATTTTCAGGCAGAGGGGCATATCTTGAAACTTCTTGATTATGCAGTCTAACAGGTAGTAGAAGTAAAATAGGTTATAATGAATTGTTGTGTTTTCATTTGATTCAGAATGGTTATTTAAAGTATTTTAACTCATCTCTGTGTTTTCTGTGTTTATTTAGGACTCAGCAGGAAGCTGCAGCCAAAAAATTCTTTTGATCACCATTTTTGTATGTACCTGTATGTATGCACAGAATTTTGATTGTAAATGAGGGAATTTTTATGTGTTTAAATTGCTTCAGTAGTCTAAATTATTAATTTTTTGTTAAAATTACCTGTTTAAATGTTAAATTGTGGTAAGAATAAACCTTACAGAAGTGAGAACTTCAAGGAAAAACTGTGCACAGTATATAACTTTATTTAAAATTTATTGAGTTGATGGTTGGTGGTAGAACATCCAACAAACAGTACATTTATTTCTAGTGTGTTTAGGGTAAGAAAAACTAGGGACGTGCCTCCCAAAAGGTGGTCAGTACGTTTGATTTCTGGGGCAGAAAGTTTATTCTTAAGAGTATGATGTTGTAAGTAATTTTATTTAAAAGAAAATTTTTCCAAAATTAAGAAGTTGACCTAAAGTCCAAAGTACATAATTTCCCTGTCATAGAGGTCAGAGTAACCAAAGTCTTCAGGTGTATGAATCAGAATATCCTAATCAAAGACCTACTCCTATAATCATTTTATGTTGACGTAACTCCCTCTGAAAGAAATCAAAGATAATTTTGCTCAAGTAGAGGTTTCTTAGGATCAAGATGTCAACATTTCATAATGCTTATGTAGAATTCGGGGGGGGGGTTTCCGTTTGAATGTGGACAGTATATCTTATTTTGAAAGGAAGCTGCAGGAGAAAAACTTAAGAAAGCTACTTTTTGCCTAATTTTTGCCTAAACATTCTTCTGATTAACGGTTTTTACGGGTATTTTGCCTGCTGATAGATTTATTTCATGCTCCTGAATGTCTTCACCTCAAAGAAAGTCACTTAAGTCTTCTTTAAAAATAGCTTTTTAAAAATTTGTAGTTTAAGTCAGTTTTACCGTATTTTACAATGCAGCATGTAAATTCAGCTCTAGCATGCATAGGATTTTAATATTGTAAATAACTGAAAAGTAACCACTGCGTTCAAGTTACAATGCCATTTCACTATACAGCCCGAATACGCGAATGTGTACATCCCCTAAAAATCTAGGAGGCTGTTCCTCATTGTAATTTTAAGGCTTTCATGAGCAATTTTTAAGAAATAAAGAAGTAGACTTTTGTGAATTTTTTTTAAAAAAAGCTTCAAGTATTAAAATGCATTTGTGAGTAGGGTTTGCCTTTTAATGTCCAAGTATAAAAGGGTCTTCATAAAGTCCTTGCACAATTTTTACGCTTTGAGCCTTAATGATTGAATTCGTAAGTATGATAAAAATAATTATTCGTTGAATTTAAGACTATCAATGATTGAGGTTTTTTTTTCCCCCACATAACTGAACCTGACCTAAGTGTTTCATGGCTAACAGAACTTGCTTTCTCATCTACTTCAGCAATTTTTTATTTGTCACAGGTCTTGGAATAAATATACATGGTGCGTAATTCCATAAGTCCCAAGCTAGTGACTTTTTAATACCGCTTAGAGGTTGATCTTCTCATGCCAATAGCCTACACGAGGACTCTATGAAGACTCTGGTTTTGCAATACTCTATTAGTGCTATAATGTGAACTGACAGTCTTTTTATTATTACAGCTTCTGTGAACATTTATTTTGGGGTGATAAATAAGAATATTCCAGTAAGTGATGTTTCACTCTACCATATTTACTTACCTGTAATAAGAGTGAATTTTTCCCCCTTTATAATGTTAAATTTTGAAATCCATTTGGACATATGGATCATTTCAAAGACATTATCACAAATTTGTTCTTTTTTATCAGTACATGAGAAATTTTTAATACCTTCAAAAGAATGTTTAGGTTATAAAGTATGAAATTCATACTAATCATCCCTAAGGAAAAAGCTGCCAAAACCAGTGTTAAAAACTCCACAGTCACACTGTGCCTGAAACATTGAAAGGAATACCAAATCTATGCAGTATATTTTTGTCAGGCTAGAATTCAAGTGATCTCATTCTGATTATGGCCTAGACAAGTAGGTACCTGCACTATATTGAGAGGGCATAATCATGCATTTTAAACTCCCTACTCTGTTGGATATTGAATTGCTTTGAAACATTGTAAGTCGAGTTGGGACGGGGCAGTTGTATCCCATTAATTGGGTCTGGTTTATCTTCCTCAAAATAATTGAAGATAAGTAGATTACTTACGAAGAAAAACGTTCAAACTTGGTGGGAAAAAAAGTCACTGCCAGGATTCTTTAACTTTCTTTGTTATTTTGGATAATTAAATTTATTCACTCTCACACCAGCAAATATTTTACAGGGTGCCTTGGATTAAAACAAAATTTTATTTAAAATATATCAGTGTTTTTTGTCATAAAGTCACTTTTTAAAGAATGCAATAACATCATGGTTGTTAACTCCTGATTTAATGTACCTTTTTCATGTTTCAACCTTCCAGCTATGTTTTATTTAATTTGAAATTTTAAAGTAGTAAAACCATACAAGTACACTGTATATTATCTGTTGAAAGGGTCTAATAACATCTTCCCTGGTTCAGAACTAGTGGCATAATATAACACTTCCATCATTGATCCCATGAGCTTTTGTGCACTGATTGTTTTGTACGCATAACTTCCTTAATGCTCTTTTTTAATAAGGAACAATTGGTATATGTTGTTAGCCACCCAGAATGTTTCCTGACTCCTGAGTCAGCTTATTGATGACCTTTAAGCTCACTGACATTCAGCCCACTGTGTTAAATTCCATCCCAAACCTGCCTACCAGAAAGCTTCTTGCATTTAATGGTAGTCATGGTTGTGTTGTTTTGCATAAAATTAAAGATGACTTAACAACAAAAGCAAAATACGGACAGGAGAAACTACTTGAATAAGGGATTACCTGGCATAATATGTTACAAAGATACAGTCTTGGGGGAAAAAATGTAATGGCGAATATTAAAATACAGTGACTAGATCTCCCTCACCAAATGTTCATTACAGGGACATAGTTTAAAAAAAAAGTTATATTGGTGTTTAAAAAAAAAGATTTGATGTAAAATCTATACTTGCAACTTTTTAGATTTGTGTGTTGCCTATTTAAGATATCAGTTTTATTGATGTTGCTGTAAAGTTGAAATTATTTTCTAGCCACTGTCAATTGGATACTATTTCTCAAGTTATTTTGTTTTTTGACTAATGTTACTTGATGCTAGCTGGAATTCAAGAAAAGACATTAACCTTATTCAAATAAAGAAATATTTTATTAAAATTACTTTCTCTTTTATTGAACTCTGATAATATCTTAGCCACATATTTATCAAGGCAGTGTTTCTTTTTTTTAAAATTGACATGTGCAAGATACTATGCAGATCTCACTGTGTAGAGTACCAGGATGTACATATCCCTGCCCAAAAGAATTAACAATCTTGTTGAGAGTTTGTGTGTGTGTGTATTATTGTAACTGTATGGACACATAAAGATAACAGTACATGTGTAACAGTACATTTTTATCCATTGTCTGCTCTTTTCAATATCTGATCTATATGAAGTCTATATGAAAAGGACAAAGAGAGGAAAGGCGGAAAAAAAAATCTTTTACTGTACAGGGCATGAGGTTAAAAGCTGTAAGGAGTACAATATCCCAAATGGAAACAATGAATGTCATCCATAAATCCTAAATGGGTTTACACTAACAGGTGCTTCCACATGCTTAATGTGGCCATAAGCCACTACTACCATTTCCAAGGCCACCATAATAGGGTCTCTGAAGGAATTTAGGAAAAATGAGGCAGTAAGTAGTACATAGGGATTCAGAGAAGAGAATGCTTATTGTGCAATTGTTGGCCTGTACAAGGAAAGTTTCAAGAAGATAGTGGGACTTGGTTTAGGTAAAGAAGGAGAGGTTAGGATTCCAATAGACAAAAACAAGGTAAGAGCATGGAGGAATGTGTAAGATGTATCTCAGGGACGAGATGTAACCAGTCCGCTGGAAGCTGAGAAAGCATTCCTTCTGGGGAATAGTTAGCAGTGTTGGGTGGGGCAAGATTGTATAGAACCTTCAGTGTTGAGCTCAGATTCTTTGGTGCTTAGATTGAAGGGACCCCAGAGATCAATCTCTTGTCTGATACATGAAACCCTTTCACAACATCTTCAGTGAGGGATTACCCATCCTCAGCTTGAACATTTCCAGTGACAGGACACATTCTACTTTTTGGATAGCTTTTACAGAAAGTTCTTCCTTTATATTGAGCTAAGACCTACTTCTTTATAATTGCCATCCATTGGTACTTAATCTACTTTGGAATTACAGGGGACAAGTTTGATTACTTATCCATGACATGAATAAAGAGCATGACAGCTCTTTAATAAGGGAGACCTGGTTTAGTCTTCTCTAAGGTAAATTCCTAAATTTCCTTTAATTATTACATGATGTAATTTTTAAGTCTTGCCCCTTTTCTCTATCTTCTAAAATGTTACACTCAAAACCAAAAACAGAATTCTGTACGTAGTATTAAATGGGACAGCAGGCTTATCACCTTCCTCATTCTCGATACTTCACCTCTATTAATTCAGCCCAAAATCACAAGTTTTATTGGCATTCATGTCACACTCAACTCATATCTTTCAGCACCTAAAATCTTCACTTTTTTTTTCCGCATGAAGTGTTGAATAAACCCCTTCTGCCATCCTGTACTTGTATGATTAAGTTTACTATTGCCAAGTACAGTATTAAGAACTGGGAGTATAAATACAAAAGTAGAGACAGTCTCTGCCTTAAAGAAGCTCACATTCTAATGTGGGAAACGATACATAGGAGACTGGTTGGAGGGGGAGGGATGTAGAACTTTTAGTCCAGAAAGCAGTCTCATCCAGGAGCAATGGCAGTTGTTTTGATGAACTGGCTAGGAGAAGAGATTGTATGGAAAGTAGCTGGAGAGGAGAGAGGGAAGTGAAGCTGGTTAAAGCTTCCTAAAGTAGTGTTAGGGGTGGGGGAGTGGCAATCACCTACCTCAGGTGAGGTGTGTGGGGAGGAGGTGGAAGGGTGTTATCTTTCCATGTTGTAGACTGCAAGGGGTTTAGTTGAAAGACATGACTGGAGAGGAGAACCTTGATTGTCATCTGTTTCATCTTCATCACTTTCACCGTCATCACTTTTCATCTTTGTCATTATTCTCATACTTGACCAACATTTGAGCAAGATCATCTCAGTGGGCAGGTTCCAATTTCCCCCCAGGAAATGGGCTTATAACATTTGTTCAGTGCAGTGTAGAAGGGGAAGCTTTACTCAGCTGAATTAATGTGTCTTCACTGCATATCCTCTTGTCTATCATGTAGTTGGTGCTATATGAATACTAGTTGTTAGTTTCAAATAAGTTTTTGTTGATATTTTCTGTTTCTTCCATCACCATAGTATCCCATCTATCCCTCTCCCTCCCAGACAGCCATCCCGTAAGTCAGCACAACTGATTGATACATCGAAAAGGTCCAAAAATGTGCAAAATGTAAGACCTGTGGATCTCACCTCCACAAAGGGCTAAGTCGGGGATGTTCATTCGAGTCCTACTTGATCTTTATAATTTCGTTATATTTTACTTTTGATTTTTTTGGTATGCCATTGTTCTTTCCATTTACTTTGTTATTACTGTGTATATTGTTTTTGGATCTTTTAACTTCACTCTGCATCAATTCATATAGATCTTTCTATGCTTCTCTGTATTCATCACACATAATCTTTTTTTTTTTTGGTGAGACAATTAGGGTTAAGTGACTTGTCCAGAGTCACATAGCTAGTGAGTGTTATGTGTCTGAGGCCAGATTTGAACTCAGGTCCTCCTGATTCCAGAGCTGGTGCTCTATCCACTATGCCACCTAGCTGCCCCTACAATCATTTCTTATAGCACAGTAATATTCCATTACATTTATGTACCACAGTTTACTTGGCTTTTCCCTAATTAATGAGCATCCAGTTTGTTTCCAATTCTTAGCTATCGCAAAAAGTGCTACTATAAATATTTTGAAGTATATAGGGACTTTTTTCTTATTTATGGCTTCCTTGAGGTATAAGCCTAACAATGGAGTCTCTGGTTCAATGGGTGTGGACATTTTAGTCACTTTTTTTGCATAATTCCAAATTGTTTTTCAAAATGGCTGTACTGTTTCACAGCTCTACAAACAACGTATTAATGTGCCTATCTTTCCATAACCCCTTCAAAATGAACTGTTACCAGAGGGCAGGTAGGTCGCATATCCACTGGCCATGGAGTCAGGAGGACCTGAGTTCAAATCCGGCCTCAGACACATAATACTTCCTAGCTGTGGGGCAAGTCACTTAACCCCAATTGCCTCACTTAAAAATAAATGAACTGTTACCATTTTTTTTTGTCATTTTTGCCAATTTGCACAGTGTGAGGTAAAACTTAAGGATTGTTTTGATTTGATTTCTTTTTTATTATTAGTGATTTGGAGAATTTTTTCTTGTGGTTGTTAATACTTTGGAGTTCTTTTGAGAGTTGTTTGTTCATCTCTTTTAACCATTTTTCTATTGGGGAATGAATCTTTTTCATACATATTCATAATTTTTTTTTTCTATCTTGGATACCAAACCTTTATCAGAGAAATCTGGTAACAAAGATTTTTTTCCCCATTTAATCCCTTCTTATCCTAAATGCATTAGTGATCTCTGATGCATTAATATTGCCTGTTTCAGGTTAAGCAATAGATTATACAGTTTTGTTTTCTTGTTTATTCCGTCACTATTTTTCACTTTGTTGGACTGTTTAATTCATTCACGTTTAAGATTATGAGTTAGTTTTATATTTTCCTCCATCTGCCACAAAAATATTTTTGTTACGATTTCCCCCTCTTCTGCTTCAAATACAGTGTTATGTTCTTTGAGTTACTTTAATCTTTTTTGAGGTAGCCCTGTTCCCACTGGCTTTCTTCCCCCTACCCTGATCCTCTCTTATTGGTTACTCCTTTCCCTTTAGGGCTTTGTTTATTAGTTCCTTTTTCTCTCCTGCTTTTGTCTGCTACATATTTCTTCCCCCTTTTTTTTCCCCTTCTCAGTTAGTCAAGTTGCTCCATCCTTTCACTTCTCCCCTTCAATTAGTTCTGTTCATAAGTTTAAAAAAAAACAACCCTTTCCAAAAAGAATTTCTCTCACTGTCTTCATTATTCATGTTCTCTTTGTGTTTACTCTAGAGCCAGGCATGGGGAACCTGCGACCTCAAGGCCACATGTGGCGTTCTAGGTCCTCAAGTGCAGCCCATGACTGAATCCAGATTTCACAGAACAAATCCCCACACCTGCTAGACCCTCATACTCTGATTCATGACCCCTCTACTTATCTGGTCTTTCTCCTTTCTCTTTATTCTTCAAACAATCAAAGCTTCCAAGGTATCCATTCTAAGCTCTGCTTTTTGCTCCTGGGCTTACTTCATGGATTCCCCTTTTCCATTGTGCCTCATTTCCAGAACAATGCCAGTTATTGCTGGTGTCAGAAAGGACATTGCCCATAGTAAAGCCCTTCCCCCATCATATCCCTGATTACACAGCCCACCTCTAAGCTATACCCTCTCTTCTTGATCTTTCTTCCTACATTGGCTTGGAAATCTCCTTCATATGTCCACATTCTCCCATTCCTTCAGGTATCAGTTGCTGCCAAAATTCCAACTCTCCACCTCCCAGGACAGGTAGACTTTTCAAACCCTTCAGCCTTCATCAAATATTAGGTCCTCATCTCCCTCCACAATCTCTTCACCAAATGAGCATTCATCAGTGTGTCCCCTCCCACCTCCAAAGTAAAGCCTCCTTTTCTCCACCCTTTTCAGTCCTTCCTTCCTCCTCATCCCCTACTGTCTGGGCTCTTCTCTTTCTCTTTTCTCTTTATTCTTCACACAATCAAAGCTTCCAAGGTATCCATTCTAGGCTCTCCCCTTTAGGTGCTTTCTGCTGTTGAGGTCTAGGGGTGCTGGGACCCCAAAAATCAAGGGCAAGCAATGCAGGTCCTCCCTCAAATGAATTCGGCCCAAGCCTCCTTTCAGCCGAAGACAAAGTTTATTAGAACACTGATTGTGATGAACGAGATTCCTAGTGAGCCTGTACTGTTGGCCAGATTTTAAGAATCTCAGCCTTTGTAATGAAAATACAATTGGGCCAGATTCTTAAGGAATCTGAGCGATTTAATGGAGGCAAGCTGGACACTTATATACAGTGGTCCAGGAGTGGCCAATAGCTTGGGTGATTGGGAGGTAACAGAGAAGGACCCGGAAGGGCTGGGTAGCCCAGGTGAATTCCAGGGACCTGGGAACCAAGGACCTGGGCCACATGGCAAAGTCCAGGGCTTTTTAGGGGTCCATCATTAGCACCCCATTGCTACCACTGCCATGTAGGGCTTACCTCATGGATTCCTGTTTTCCATTGTGCCTCATTTCCAGAATAATGCCAATTATTGCCAATGTCCATGGTAAGGCCCTTCCCCAATTATGTCCCTGAATATGGAGCAAAGATCACCTTCCTCCCATGGCTAGCCCTTGGACCCTGGCATATGACACATTCCTCTCTCTCTCCCTATCCCCTTTGCCCCCTTATCCAACAACAAAAAAGCATTGATTCACTTGAAAGCAAGGGTCACCAGGTTCCATCCATAATGCCTCTTGTCTGCCTCTTCGCAGTTACCTCTACCAAATTTCCACCTTCTCCTCTGTCCCATTGTGCACACTTAGAAAGAAGTCTCTTACTAGCGGTCTCTGCATTGGCACTTTGTTGCTATTGCTATTCTTGCCTTATGTAAGTATTCGGTCCTCCTGCACTTCTGTTGTTTGGGGTGTTTAAGAAGCAAATAATATTTTCCATTCTGGTTTTCTTTCTAAAAATGTTTCCAACTCTTCTTTATTATTGAACATCCTTTCCTTGCCCAGTATGGTTAAGCTCAGATCTGCAGGATAGGTCATCTTGGGTGGTATCCTGAGCTTCATGGCTCTTCAGAACAATTATTCCATTCCCTTCTCCTTTTTCTGGTGGGTGTAGTCTTACGTTAATTCTGATATCCATTCCTTTGTATTTGAAGCTTTTTCTCCTGATGGCTTGCAGAACTTGATTCTGAATTCAATTGTTAAATGTAACTACTGTGTGTCTTGGAATTTGCAGCCTTTGGCTTTTGTTTGTTTGTTGTTTTGTAGAGGGGATCTGCAAATTCTTTCAGTTGGAATTTCATTTTCTCTGTTTAGAAGTTCTGGGCAGTTCTCCTCTATTTTTCCTTAATTGTGGTGTTTCAGGTGTTTTTATCTTGTCGTTCTTCAGGCTTGGTGTAGTTCTGCATAGATCCACATGCACATGGTATCAAGTTAGTGACTTCTCCAACTTGCTCTGTTCCTCAGTTCTGTAGCCCAGCATTAGCAGCTCAGAGTTTGTTTGCTCTGGCACTGGCAATTCAGAACTTTACAGCACTGGTGCCCCTGGGTTGCAGCCCCTGGCAGGTTTTTGCTCCTGAGGGGTTGTGGCCAAGCTGGCTGTCTTGACAGCCCAAGGAACATCCACAGCTTGGAGCTGGGGTCTCCACAGCAGTGGAAAGAGGAAGGGAAAAATGGGGTGTAGGGAGGGTTTGATATAAGTAAGCCAACGTTTGGTCCTTGGGTCTGCTAGTACAACCTTGTTACTGGGAAGTGGGGGAGGGATGCTGACTGAGCTCAGGGTTAGTGAGCTGGGTTCCTGGGTTGTTTGTTTTTAACCTTCTTTTGGATTCTGAGTGTCCTAGACCAGAGAGCCAGCTGATATTGCTTTGTGTTTGGTGCATAATTTGTTTTGGAGAGATTCACAAGGTCACGGAGATTAGAGAAAATATCTAGTCCACCGTCTTGTCATGTGACCCAGAGGTCATCCATCCATCCATCCATCACTGCACACAGTTGAAGTTCAAGGGACCACTCAGTTTCCGTTTAGGCTTAGAAATAAGTTTGTCATGGAATCCAGCACAGTAGCTACTGAGCAGGACAAAACCTAAGCAAACTCAAAAGCAAATCCTCACCCAGCACTTAAGAGCCCAATGAGATAAAATGATAGATAAAAAGGATTATTTGTGTTTAATGAAGCGTTCTGGTTCTCAAAGCTCGTTGCACTTTTTTCAATAGGAACGTTGAGCTAAAGGGCTGGAATTTAGAAATTCCTGTATGGCCAAACAGTTCCTGGGAGCAGCCTGCTATACTTCTAATGAAATTTTTTAAAAAAAAGAATATAGAAATTAGTCAGTTGCATCTAATGATGGTGGGATGGGCTTTTCCCCCAGAGTAATCTGAACCATCTGCCTCTCTACACTAAGGAGTTTGCCGTTTTAATCCAGCTTATGGCCGACAAACCATTTTTGGCATCCTCCTTTCCCTATCATTATGTCCTTGAAGAGCTGATGAGGCTGCGTAGAAAGCTTTTTGCTGTCTTAGGGTAGATTTTGAGAATTATTTTTTTGAGATTCTTTTTTTTTTTGAGGCTTAGTTTTCACTTTTTGGGAAGACACCATGACTTTCTTCATCAAAAACATGCTAAGTGACCAGGTTAAGAATTTAGGCATTGGCGGTGGTACAGAAGAGAAAAAAGAAGAAGGGGGCACCTCTGATCCTGCAGCTGCAAAGGGAATGACTAGAGAGGAGTATGAGGAATATCAAAAGCAGATGATTGAGGAGAAGTGAGTACATGCACCTTGATTCCTTTTTCAGAGCAAGAGCAGTCTGTGAGAACTGTGTGTTAGAGAGTCATTTCCTCTCCCTCCCAGATGCCAGGCTTCCCCCTTCTTCTCACAGAGCTCTGTTTTTCTTCATCTCCTGAATATCCATTCAGAAAAGCAATACTCAACATGGGGGCACACCCACAAAAGAAATCCCAAAAGACAGTGTCAAGCCTTCTTTCCCCTCCCCTTCTCTGCGGAGTGAGTGAATGCCTGGCTAGCTCGGTTGCGTTCTGCTTGGATGAATGGAGAAAGAGTTCATTTTGGTGTGTCTATCAGGCAAAGGCCGGAGACGCAAATTTAAGTCTGAATTTCATAGTCTCATGCTCAGGAATGAACTGGAAGGGACTTTACAGGTGATCTAGTAGAACGCCCATATTCCAAAGAGATCAAGTGCCTTGCCCAGCATCACATAGGTAATAATTGTAGGTGATGAGATTTGAACCCAGATTCCCTCTCTCTCAATCAAGTACTCTTTTCCCCTGTGCCAACTATTAGGTATGACCCATTTTCATTTTCAAAATTAAAGTAAATAAATAGGAGAAGTGAGCCCAATGCTTTTTCTTTTCTGGTTGCAGTTCATAGAAGACTGGGAGTTCAGAATCATAGAGGAATGAGGTGTTAGCATTAGAAAAAGATCATCTACTCAAACCTCTTCATTTCACAGACGAGGAACATAAGACTCATGGTGATTTAGTGACATACACATCCATTGGAAAGAGAAAAGTGCATAGGGCTCATAAAAGTTATCTTCCAAAAAGTTCCATAAAATTTGAAAAAGGAAAAAGCAAATCAGTTTGGCAATATTCCAGTACACATATGTTTATATTTCCATTTCCTTTAACGTCCATGATAATGATAATTTATTGATAATGATAATGAATGTATCACTTGGGAGAAAACAACGCTTTCCAAGTTGGAGAATTAGTGAGTTATTGAAGCTTAGTAAAATCCACATTTGTTTGAGTACCAAGAAAAGCTAATTAAAAGGGTGTTTAACAGTCAACTCAGAAGTGAAACAAATATCCATCACTTAAGAGTTTGAACTGGACAGTTTATGATTTCAAGGACAAGCATTTCTAATGCTGTATTTTGCCATTGCAGCTATTTCACTAATGATCAATTATGTAATGGTTTTCTAAAGCTGATGCTAAGGTGATTATGGGTGAAAAGGTTAATGACCTGAGGGTTATAAGGCATGTAAAGGGTTGGGTTTAATGGTCACCATTCCCCTTATTTTATCCAGAAAGATATGAGTGTTTCTGTATGGCCCCTGGGAGGGGGCTATGTAGAGGAGCAGCCCTGAAGAAAAGGGAATGCTCCTGTACATGGATGTCCCAGGGCAAAGTCACTGCCTTCGTTTTGAGACCCTTCCAGTCTGCAGTGCAAGCATTTACAATAACCTTCTACTACATCAGAAAAGCAAGTAGAATAAAGAAACAGTAATCACTCTAGAGCAGCAGTTCTCACACTTTTTGATCTCAGGACCCCTTTACACTCTTAAAAATTATTGAGGATCCCAAAGAGTTTTTTGTTTATATCCATCTATGTTTATCAGTACTAGAAATTAAAACTGATAAAATTTTAAAATATTTATTCACTTAAAAATAAGAAACCCATTATATGTTAACATAAATAACACATTTTATGAAAAATAACTATATTTTCCAAAGCAAAAAAAAAAATAGAAGAATGCTGTTGTTTTTGCATATTTTTGCCAGTCTCTTTTATATCTGGCTTAAAAGGAGACAGCTGGATTCTCATATCTGTTTCTGTATTCTATCTGTTGCAGTCTGTTGTTTTGGTTGAAGTATATAAAGCAAATCCAGCATCATTCGGATATGCAGTTGGAGTAGAAAGGAGTAGTTTATAGGCAAATAATATCATGGTATTAATATGAATTATAATGAATAGACCCCCCGAAAGGGTGTTGGGGACCTCCAGAGGTCCTCTACTGCTCTAAAGAATAGTATATCTATATCTATATATCAGGTATATCTATATATCAATATCTATATATTATATAAACATATACATATATATATACATACACACTTGCCGACATGTGTGTATATATATGTATATATGTGTGTGTATGTGCATGCATAGATATTTGTATTGTGTGTATATGTATTATAAGTACACAGATATTCATATCTAAGATATAGGTAGTCAAAGAAGAGCAGTAGCTAATAAACTGACTCCTCAGGTTCTTAGCCTAGATAGAAACCCAACTGATTGCCCAATGCCAACGTCTCAATCGTAATTTTAAGCCATTTACCTTGTCATATAAAGAGTTATTCAATATGCCTACTCAGCACACTGGGTCTCAGATGCAGTGGCTGGTTAGCTGACATCCCATCCCAGGTTTGTTTAATTTCTGCATCTGGCCAGACCATGCTTCCCAAGAGTCAAAAGGCATCTAAGATCAGTGGGTTGGCTTGAGTTAGGGTGCAAGTCCCTCCAATCCTGGTGAGTTTCTGTGATCCCTCTCTAAACAGTGGTTCTGTGACTAGGAGGAGCTCCTTTGTCACAACTTAAAAAAGGAATCGCTATTAATAGGAGTTCACCCGAGGGCAGGTCACCTAGCCCCACTCCCTCCCTCCAGACAAGATTGCCCTCATTTGGCTTTAAGCTATCCTTTGATGGATACGTTCACCACCCAGAGGTCCGAGGAAAATAGTAATAGATACCTGTGCAGGGCCATCATGGTACATAATGATGATCATAAGAACATTTCATCTTTATGGAAAACATTATGTTTACAAAATACTTTAAGTACACTGTCTCATCTGATCTTCACAATAATTTTATGAGGTAGACAGTGAAGTAGATCTCTCTCTCTCTCCCTATCTCTCTGTCTCTTCTTCTTCTCTCTCTCTCTCTGTCTTTTTCTCTCTTCCTCTCTCTCTCTCTCTCTCTCTCTCTCTCTCTCTCTCTCTCTCTCTCTCTCTCTCTCGGATGAGGAAACTGAGGCTTAGAGAGATTATGTGATTTGCCCAAGGTCGTGAAGCTGAAGCAGTTGATCTGGAACTCCAACCCAGGTCTTCTGACTGCAAATCCACTTTTATTTCCACTACAAGGTGCTTTCTTGCAAGTTTTGAAAGATCAGGAGGTGTAGAAATTAAGTGGCTTCCATTCTTTCCTTCTCATATAGACATAAAAGAAATGTTAATTTAATTTAAGGGGCCTAAGAAGATTCATCAGGGGCAGCATGGTCTAACGGATAGGACTGGCCTTAAAGTCAGCAGTACCTGGATTCAGATTCTATCTCTAACTGAGACTAGCTGGGTGCTGTGAGCAAATCACATAACCTTCCTATGGCCCAGTCAATGTTCTAAGACCAGAAGTTGAAGACAAAATGCGGACTTGCTTCTGCAGAGTCAGTTCTCTACATTGATGTTTGTATGACATCACATTCATATTCAATTTTTTAAAAATTAGTTTCTTCCAAACTGGACATTAGGTTGCAAACACCTTGAAGGCAGGAACTGTCTTTTGCCTCTTTTTGTGTTCAAAGTACTAAGCACAGTGCATGGCACATAGTAAGTGCTTAATAAGTGTTTATTGATTGATTTATTTTTGGATAGTAGTGTGGATAAGTTTGGATAAGTGTGGCAGAGCCCAACTAGGACCAGCTTTGAATGCCAGAGTAAGGAGTTTGGACTGTACTTGTTACAAATTGGGGAGCTTTTTGAGCAGAAGAGAGATTCTGAAATAGGGTACTGACAATAGGAATGGAGAGAAGGGGATGGATCAGAGAGATATAGAAGATGGTTATTTAACCTTTTACTGTTTTTATTGCTAGCTTTTGCTTTTGTATCAGCCTCATTCTCCAATGTGTACTCCTCTCTCCCTCTGAGGGAGCCATGCTTTATGAAAGAATAAAAAAAAGAAAAAAATAACCCTAATAGTTCCGCAAAACTAACCAACACATCCACCAGGTCTAATAGTGTATTCTCCTTTCCACATCCATAGTGCCCTACCTACACAAAAAAGGGAAGAAAGTTCATTGAGGTATCTCTTTTGGGAGGGCCAGACTTGATTATTATAATTTCATCGTATTTGGTTTCAATTTGTTATTTCTGTTCTTTCCAATTACATTGCTGTAGTAATTGTGTATACCATTTTCCCAGTTCTGCTTACTTCACATTGCATCAGCTTTTCTAAGTCTTCCCATGCTTCTCTGTATCCTTCATTCACTTTTTTATTTTTTAAACTTTTAGCATTTCAGTTGAGTATAAGGAATTAATTTAGGAAGGTAGAAAATTTACCATGGGGTGTTGACTTTTATTTCAAACTTTCATTTATTTTACTCATTAGCTTTTTTACTTTCTTTTTCATACACACTCATCCAGAGACATAATTCATTTCAAAATGATTAGACGTCGTACATTCTTGGGTCCCATCCTGTCATTCCCGTAATGAAATCTCTTGCTATCCTTCAGTGTCCAGTATTGGGGACAGAAAGTTAAACCATTGCAACAAAGGGTAAGGGAAATTTTTTTAAGGTGTATAGGATCATAGATCTAGTACCAGAAAGGACCTTAAAGATCATACAGTCTAATCTCCTTATTTTACAAATGAGGAAACCGAGGCCCAGAGAGGTGAAGTGACTTGGACAAGATCACACAATGAACAAGCATTTGTTAAGAGCCAGGAACCATGCTAAGTGCTGGAGAAACAAAGAAAGGCAAAAATAACTCTTACTCTTAAAGAGTTTAAACTACGTACAAACAAGACATACACAAATTAAATTAGAGGTGAACTCAGAGGGAAGGCACTAGCGTTAAGTAGGGTCACGAAAGGCTTTTTGAAAAAGGTGGGATTCAGACCAGATACTTGACACTTATTAGCTGTGTGACCCTGGGCAAGTCACTTAACCCCAATTGCCTTGCCAAAAAGAAAGAAAAAGGTAGGATTTTAGCTGAGACTTGGAAGGAAGCCAGGAAAAATGGAAAGTACAGATGAAGAGAGAGAGAATTCCAGGTTTGGGGAACAGCCAGCAAAAGTGCTTGGAGTCTGGAGATGGAGTGTTGTGTTTGAGTAAGAGCAAGGAGGCTGGTGTCACTGGATCACAGAGGACGTGGAGGTGTGTACAGAATAAGAACCCTGCAAAGGCAGGAAAGGGCCAGGTTAGGAAGGACTTTAAAAGTCAAACTGAGGGTTTTCCATTTGCTCCTGGAGGCAATAAGGAACCACTGGATTTGAGCCACAGGTAGCAAAGATTTGAACCCAGCTTCTCTGAGCTCAGCACTCTTTCCTCTATGCCATTTAAAAAAAATAATGATCTGTAGCGAGCCAGAGAGCCCAAATGGAGAATCCAGTGAATGACAACTCT